GCGTGGAGGGGCCTCCCAGGTCCATGGCCCCCAGCGTCCCCTTCCTCGGCCGGAACCACCGGCCGGCCCAGCTGTACTGTGGGGGGTGGAGGCCGGGTCAGCCGGGGCTGGGCGCTCGCACCCCGCTCGGGGGCTGGCCCGGGCCCACCTTGATGAAGTTCTCCAGCAGGTAGTTGGCGGTCACCCAGCCAAACACTCCCTCGTCCTGGCCGGACAGGATTCGGGCGCCACGGAAGTCGAAGGGGTACTGGGTCAGCGTGTGCGTCACGGCCGCCAGCACGTTGGCCGAGGCCTCTGGGCTGGTCAGACTGTCAGACAGGGTGGCCTCTGAGCGGCTTCTTCCCTGGTGGCCGAGATCCTGGAGTCCCCGTGGCCGGGATCCTGGGGTCCCCATGGCCGGGATCCTGGGGTCCCCTTGGCTGAGATCCTGGGGTCCCCGGTGGCCCAGATCCTGGGGTCCCCTTGGCCAGGATCCTGGGGTCCCTGTGGCCGGGATGCTGGGGTCCCCATGGCTCCCAGGATCCTGGGGTCCCTGGTGCCGGCCAAGAGGGCCCCCCCACCCAGGGCTGCCGCTGAGGGCATTGGGGCCCACCCTGTGCCCAGGCTGCTGTGGGGACCCAGGCCGGAGGGGCAGGGGTGGGCATACTCACTGGAGCAGGCGCATGCCCGCCGTGGCTCCCAGGTAGAGGGGTGTGCCCGCGTGCCTCTCCCTGGGCACGTCCCGCAGCGCCTGCTCCAGGCATTCAACCAGACTCTGGCCGGCCCCCGAGGGGTTGTCTGCGTAGCTGGAGATGCCCCCACCTGGAGGGAGGCGTCAGCCTGGCGGCCAGCCCTGAGGGGGGCCTACGGGGCAGGGCGGGGCTCCCAAACCAGGTGGCAGCTTAAGGACAAAGACGCTCACAGACAAAGGGGCCACCCCTGTGCCACCCAGAGTCTCTGAGGCCGCACCTGAGTGGGTGTGTGCACAGGTGCAGGACAAAGCACTGGGCGTTGCCCCCTGGCCTGGCCTCCAGGGGTCCTGCCGGAGGGTGAGTGCCCGCCAGCTCCTCGGAGCCCCTCTTGGGCCAGGCCAGGCCCAACCTTCCGACTGCTCCCCGGGGCTCCTTTCTAGAACGGCAGTGCCCACAGCCCCCCGAGGCCCGGGACCCAGCCTCCCC